TAAAATTTATAAAAAAATATATATAAATTTAATATAAAAATTTATATAAAATTATTTACAAACACCAGAATTAATAGGATTTAACTTATACTCTTAGTCAAACCCTGGCAAAAGGTACCCGTTTACCCCTTAACTTTTCGATTTTGAGGGTTTTTACCCTCCATATTACAATACATGAATTTTTACCCTTCATATTTTCGAGTTTGAGGAAATGAGGCAAAATTTAACGCCGGAGCGTCACGTGCAGCACGTGCACCGTTGGCCTCCGTCAAGTGTGCACATGTCATCACCACCTCAGACTTTTTTTGACAACTTGGCATGCCAACTTGGAACCACATGAGCGGGAAATCTACCTGTTATCAATTTTATATGTGGGTCCCACTGCTAACTAAAGGTTTTGAAAAAAAAAAGGTTAAATCCTCAATTCAGTCCCTTAACTTTTATTTTTGAACTAAATTTACCCTTGAACTTCAAAATATTGTGACTTGGCACCAAAAATATAATTTAATAAATAAAAATTTATTTTTTTTCTCCTTCTCTTTCCTTTTCTCCTTCCCCTCCCTACTGGGTTCGAAGGAACCCAGCACCAGCACCTGGTACAAATCACAGTTGCAAATCCATGAGCACAACACGCGGGACAAATCGCCCACACGAAGCCTCGTTGTAATAGACATTCACACGCTCCAGTTGCAGATCAGAGTTTCCATTGTATCGTCCTGTTGGATCAATACCGTGCTCATCACAGACCACTTCCCAGAACTTAGCACCGATCTGGTTCCCACATTGTCCACCCTGAATGTGAAGGATCTCTCTCATTGTTTAACAACAGATCTGCAGAAACAGCAAAACAAGCAAATGTCTAGACTACAGACATAAGACTTAAGCAGACAACGAGTTAGATGACTACACTATCACCATCAAATATGAAATTTCAAACACTAAAATACCCGAGTTAGCAATTTCTCTGATTTTCCAACCTACTTTCTCGGCAAACAAGCAGAAAACCAAAGATGAGGATTTTATACTTACATCGATCAGAGGCGGAGAGAGAGATAAGAGAGTACAGAGCACGCACGCCTGGGTTCCATCGAACCCAGGCGTGCTGGGTTCGAAGGAGGAACCCAAGCCTGGGTTCCTTCAAACCCAGGCGTGCTGGGTTCGAAAGAGGAACCCAGGGCCTCGGTTCCTCGAACCCAGGCGTGCTGGGTTCGAAGGAGGAACCCAGGGCCTGGGTTCCTCGAACCCAGGGCCTCGGTTCCTCGAACCCAGGCGTGCTGGGTTCGAAGGAGGAACCCAGGGCCTGGGT